ATTTTCTGATATAACTCGTGATATGGAAAATGTAACTTGCGTTGATGGAAAATCTAACTTAGGTGTATGCAAAATGTAACTTGTTGAAACAAATCCAAATGTAACTCGCGCATATAGGAAGATGTAACTCACGCATAAAAAGATGTAACTCACGCACAAGAAGATGTAACTCAATATACTATCAAATGTAACTCCAAGATTTGTCTATAAACATAACTCACACAGGTGAAAATGTAAACCACACATATGAAGATGTAATCTCACATTTTATCAAACATAAATCAAAATAAACAAACTTAATGTTACAAAAATGTTATTATTATATAAAAGAGATCAGAAATATATTATAGGATAAAGTGTATGAATATAAAAATAGATATTACAAAAAAGTGTATAACAGACAAAAATATTATAGAAATAAAAATAGTGTATGAATGTGAAATGTAATACACTTATTTTATTTACTTGAGGAAGAGAGTGAAGATGAGTACGGGATGTACTTGTTTGACGATTAGAGTTTCAAGTTTCTTTGAAATGTTAGCTTTTGGATTGCAGACATTTTTTATAATTTCATCATACTCATATCTCGTCGAGTCGTAAAGGGAATTTATGAACCCCATCATGGTTGAATTTTTCTATCACTATTCTAGTGAATGTGTAAATCTATATTTTTAATGCCTAAAGAAATAGGAGGCCTTTGAGATATGTCTGTTTGGTCGCAGTCTGATGTGGGATGTCAAGTTTTGAAGGTGAGCCCCCGTCGTCAGTCTTGAGGCCCCCGTTTACATCCCAACCTTGGCCATTGGTCGCCGGATGCAGCAAGCCTCATCTTCACAGAACCTCTTTGGCGGCTTACTGCACTTTCTCTGGTAGAAGCAATGTGAAGTAGCCAGAACGGGCAGTGCTAACATCTTCAAATCTTCAATTGCCCTGATGGCTTCCTTGGATCGCCAAAAACCAAAGAAACTGCGAACGAGTCTAAGAAATACTCCGTATTTCAACAAATGGCTTGTGTTACTCCTTAAGAATATAAAATGAATACAAATAATCATTTTATTAATTAAAAAGAAATGTGATTGCATTTAGTAAATAGGTGGCTGTCATTAGAATTTATAATTTCCCTATTTCAATTTTATAAACCATACGGAGTAATTTACATCTTCCATGCAAAGTTTCCTAGCTACTTTACACATTACTTTCAAAATAATTTCGATGCCCTAAACAATAAACATTTGATATAAATGAATAAAAGTTGGAGACATCATAGTATTAAGAGAAAACTCTCAAATTGACCCCGTACTATACTGAAAAAGTCAATCAGGCCCCCATACTATAAAATCGTTCAATCAAGCACTCCAACTATTAAAAAACATTCAGATCGCACCTTTGACCGGTAAACAACCGGTTAGACAGGTTACATGCACACGTGGCAACCCACTACACGTGCACGTCTCAAATTTTAATCTCGTTTTACTTTTAATTTCCTTTTATTTCCCCTTCCCTAGTTCCCCACTTCCCCCTTCTTTGTTCTGTATTTTGACTCTTACTCCGACATCTTTAATTTTATATGCTTCTCCTCATTTTTTTAGTTTTCTTTTTAACTTGTGTCTTTTTTTGTCCTTCTACGAAGTATTTATTACTCCATATATTACAAGCTCGTTACAAAGGATTAATTATACAAAGTAGCAATGTTGTGGCTCATAAAATTAAAAAAAAAAAAAAACAAAATAAGCTCAACAAAATCTCAGAATTGAAACTGAATTAATCAGGGATCGATGAACAGAAAACTGTGAAGAACAGAAGCTGACGAACAAAAAATTATGTTTAATATTGAATCACACAAAAATAAGGACGTGTGACATGTGAATTAAGCGCTTCGCCGGGGTTGGTTGTTATAGGACCTCCGGGCATTCTTGAGGGTGGGGATATCAACGATGCCGTGTGGTGAAATTGATATCGCCGACCTATTAAAGAGGAAGAAGATTTAAAAGCTTAAACACTCGACCAATAAATCTGATGAAGCCTGGAGGGTAGGGATGGACTCGGGCCGGGCCAACCGGACCGGCCCGCTACTGTGCGGGCCCGGACCGGCCCGGTGAACCGGTTAGTGCCCGGTTCGGGCCACCCGGCCCGGTGAGATAGCGGTCCGGGCCCAGGCCTACTATTTAGTGAACCGGCCCGGCCGGGCCTCAACGGTCAGTTTTAAAAAAAAAAAAATTATTAAAGGCTATAATAGCCGTTGGGAGTGTCCCAAACGGCTCTATAGCCGTTGGGAGCATAGGAGGGGGGTCTGGGGGGTTAGGGGGGTGGGGTGGGGTATACAAAAAAAACCTATTTATACTCCTATTTTCTATACATTTTTTACACCTCTTCTTCTACAACTCTTCCTACTCTCTAATTCTCTATTCTCTCAATTTCTCATATTCAATCATCTTCATTCTTCATCTTCTCCAAATTCTTTCTACATATATATAATTTATATAATTATGATATCTACTTATATATTAATTATCTACTTATAAATATATACTTATACACATTCATATTATAATTCTTTACACATTATATATACTATATATAGTTATACACATTCATATTTACTTTATATTTAGTTATTATCCATACTATTGTTATTTACTTATATTTACATATTACATTTAGTTAATATATACTTATATATATATATATTAAAGTATTAAGTATAAGTGTATTACTCATCTTATAGTAATATACTTATATATTATATACTATAAACATTATATTATATATTACTTATAATATATTTACACATTATATATACTATATAGTATACATACTTATACACATTCATATTTATTTGATATTTAGTTTTTATCCATACTATTGTTATTTACTTATATTTACATATTACATTTAGTTAATATATACTTATATATATATATATATATATATATATATATATATTAAAGTATTAAGTATAAGTGTATTACTCATCTTATAGTAATATACTTATATATTATATACTATAAACATTATAGTATATATTACTTATAATACATTTACAAGTTATATAAACTATATAGACTTATACACATTCATACATTTTATAAAAGTAGTTAATTGTTAGACTTATCATTTATCTATTAAATTAGTTAATTGTTACATTTCTCTACATTTCTCTTTAAAGAAAAAAAATAGTTACTTGTTACATATCATTTATCATTTAACATTAGTTAAACTAGTTACTTATTTAATTGCTACATTTCTCATTAAAGTAAAAAAAGTAGTAAATTTTTACATTTGTCATATTAATATTAGTTAAAGTAGTTAATATCTGCATTTGGTTCTCTTTTGAAAAAAAGTAGAGCAACTCCCACTACTGAACAAAGCTCAGTTAACGAGCTTTCTTTGTATCTAACATTGAATGTTGATTATGAAGTTGGGGATGACTTTGACGTTCTTAAGTGGTGGAAGGAAAATGAAAGAACGTTCCCGATTTTATCAAAGATGGCTAAGCAAGTGCTAGCAATGCCGATATCAACAGTTGCCGTGGAACAAGAATTTAGTGCGGCCGGCAACGTCCTAACCGATTATAGAACGAGGTTGAGCCCGAGCTCTCTTGAGACGCTAGTTTGTTTCCATGATTGGTTGAAGGCCCAACGAAGAACTCAAGAAATGACCATCGCTCCCACTCGCCACTTTATGGAGGAAACAACCACCGAAGGCGGAGATTCCGATTGATTTTTTATTTCAAAATGTACTTTTATTCCAATTGTTATTTTTTTCTCAATTCTCAAATGTACTTCCCATTTCAAATAAATGCACTTGAATTTTGTTTTTAATAAGAATTATTATAATAATATAATATATAATTTTAAAAAAAAAAAAGGCCCGGTCCGTGAACCGGGCGGGTGACCCGGCCCGAACCGGACCCGGGGGTTACCCGGGCCGGTTCCGGGCCTCCCATTTCCTGAACCGAGGCCCGGCCGATTCAAGGCCCGTACCGGGCCCGGCCCGAACCGAGTCCATCCCTACTGGAGGGATTCGCCTAGGAAGTCGTTGCAGAAGAAGAAGCGGGTGTAGCAGAATATGTATCTATGTCCTGTGAGGGTATATATATTCTTCGTATATATATACATATATTGCATATAAAATATAAGAGAATAAACAAAAAAATTGAGAAAAATGAAAAAGAAGAACAAAGTAGAAACACAGAGGAAGGAAAGAAGATTGGCTGGACGAAACATGGGATGCTCTGAGGAAGGTGGAAGCAAACAGATTTGGACCAAGAAAGAGGAAAGAGAAGCGCGAAAGAAAGAAAAACAAAAAACAAAATAAAAAGAAAAAAGTCAAATTAACCTAGTGGACCGCCAGGTATGCAAAAGAAGTGGGCAACCGGTTGCTTACCGGATAAAAGGTGCGATTTGAATGTATTTTAATAGTTGGAGTGCTTGATTGAACGATTTTATAGTTCGAGGGCCTGATTGACTTTTTCAGTATAATACGGGGCCAATTTGATAATTTTCCCTAGCATTAATAACTGTCAAACGGTGGTGCAATTTGCGGTTGTAAATTTGACCAACGATGTAGTTCATTCTTCCCTAATAGTGTTTTAATTAGTATTAATAACTGAAATCTATACACGTAGAAGCAACAATAAAAGTAAAACTTAGCGCAAGAAATGATTTCAAATACGGTATTCAATTGCATGGAAGTACTCAATCTGGTACAGGAAGGGAAGTACTCAATTGCATTTGTAATATTTCGTCCATATATCACAGATGGTATCATTTATTGAAATGAACTTTGATCATTGTGCATGAGTTATACTCCGCATTTCACATATAAATATGCACGACGGTCGACGGGGCATGCACTCAAGTAGATCAGTAGACACTGATAAGATAAATTGGAAGGACCGGTTGTCAAAGCAGCCAAAATTTTGTATTTCGCCATATTTTCATTGAGTGCATTAGTGCATATGGTATGTATCTATATCTGTATATCATGTATATTAACTGAATTTTTCTTGGTAATACCTATGCACACAAGGTACATAATGCGTGTTCAGGATGTGAAGTTCAGAATGTGAAATTCTGTCCAAATGTGGATTAAAAAAAAATAAATAGTCCGTGTAGTTTATCCCTGAACGTGAATTCACAGGTACAAATACGCTAGGGTTGGAGGATGTCCGGATGGAGGCCAAATTTAACCAAAATTGGCACAACACTCCCAGTTTTGGAAATGAACTTGAATAGGTCATGTTAAAGCCGCAGTTTACACAAATTTCAACTCCCATGACAAAACAGGTGTCAATGTGATTGACCACCGATACATTAATTAGGCATGGAGGAATCCATGCTCTCGTTATGGATGTGCCAAAGGTTAATAGTATACGTACAACTGTCACCTTCCGAAACATCTTAGTATGGAAGATACAAGGGTGGAAGAAAGGAATTTCAATCCTGTTGAGCCTCCGGGGAAGTAGGAGATCGCATAATATGATAGAGCAAGAACCTGCAGCAATTATATACGGAGAACAAATTAGCCCAAAGAACCTGTATATTTCTACCAGCAAGTTTGGCCTTGCCTATTAAGCAAAACAGACGTGAGCAGTAGTATATCATTGTATCAAATAATTTTAAGATTGGCGCAAGGCAGGAATCTCCTTCTGGTGAAATATCAAACACCCCTGCCCTATGGAGCAAGGACAGTGCCATGTCAAACAAGGATACAGAAAGAGATGATATTACAACAGCTGCTCTTTATCCTTTAACTACACTATTTTGTTTTCTCAAAGGCAAAAAAAGAAGGTAAGATTGTTGTCACATCCCAAGTTTTCCCTCTCTTTCTCAACATGGTTCCTTAATAAAAACTGACCCAAATACCCTTTTTAGCTTTGCAAATAGTCATTGTAGTAAAACGCATGTGACAAATTTATCTGAAGTTTTACATATTAAAAGTAAAATACTTCGTATTAATTTACAACTTCACATATCAAGAAAAAATTATGCAAAAAAGAGAATAAAGAAACCAAAAAACTACATACATGGAATAGCCACTAAGATTCGAGAAAGCGGCATCGATATATTTTCATCAAATTGATGGAATGCAAATATTGACTGCTGTGCTAAATATAAGTCATGTTACCCATTTATGGACGACACGGGTCAATACACAGCTCTTAACATAGCGGTCAACTACCAAATCATATTAACTCTTTCTATATGTTAGGAATAATTACCAACACCGCATATTGTCAACCCGTGATTGAAAAAACAATCTACTAAATTACAAATGGGAAAAGAACATCAAATACCTGCACCACTGAGAAGACCACACAAAGAATATAACTCTTCATGACCATTGAAAAATATATTGTCCCCACCATGCTGCCAATGAAACCGACTGTAAATGGAAGCCTCTGAAAATGAAAGATTAAAAAAATTAAGACAATACCTGCACAGATTTTGTATTAGAGAAAAAAAAGAAACGACGAAAGTAAACACTTCCATAAGCTTAACATTAATAACGGGAATGAGCATCTTCTAAATCTAGCTATGTTACCTCCTTTGATAGCATGTGTGAAAGTTGATTTTTTGGACCTTTGAGGGCAAAGAATGAGCCAATAATGAAAGAGCACCCAATAGTAAAGCAAATAGCAAACTTTTGAGGCATTATGACCATGACAGGAAGAAACATGGTGAAAGCCAAGAAGATGAAAAATACTCCAGCGCCAAGGAATAGCCCAAAGTACATAAGAGCCTTTCCTGAAGGAACATTACTCGTCGCAGACGGAAAGTTTCCTGGTAAATCTCTAACTCCTTGAGAGACCCTATGTACAAAATAACATACAAGAAAATGAATGAATGAATAAATAAATAAATAAATAAATAAATAAATAAATAAATAAATAAATAAATAAATAAATAAATAAATAAATAAATAAATAAATAAATAAATAAATAAATAAATAAATAAATAAATAAATAAATAAATAAATAAATAAATAAATAAATAAATAAATAAATAAATAAATAAATAAATAAATAAATAAATAAATAAATAAATAAATAAATAAATAAATAAATAAATAAATAAATAAATAAATAAATAAATAAATAAATAAATAAATAAATAAATAAATAAATAAATAAATAAATAAATAAATAAATAAATAAATAAATAAATAAATAAATAAATAAATAAATAAATAAATAAATAAATAAATAAATAAATAAATAAATAAATAAATAAATTAACAAATAAATAAATAAATAAATAAATAAATAAATAAGTAAATAAATAAATAAATGTTGCTATTGAATAGCATTAATGATTGTATGATGATCCCTTCTATGTAAATCTTAAGATGTTAACTATTAGCTCTGGTTTAGGTTTACATTCACTAAGCATGTTTTTGTATTAGTTGGAGGATTTTGGAGAGAGGTGATGTGAAGAGAGTGGATAAGCGGTGTGTGTTTGATTAGGAAAGAGAGGAGCTATAGGCTCCTCCAACTCTCTAAGTTCCACGTATCTTACCTGTCAAAAATGTACCACGTTGAGATTGTGATTACGATATTAGTCTTAATAACAACAAAACCTATACTGTATCAAATATAGTAATAACGATAGTATTTTGATTTTGAAAAAGTAATTTTTTCATACACTCCTCACCATTACAGCATTGACTTGCCTCCCTCACATTGTGAAATTTGGTGTATGTATGTGTATGTCACAGCATCATTACATACAAATTGGGGCACTACATCACATTCAGCATCTTTTTCTAGGGAAATTTCCGGATTTCATTTTCGCCATCATTCGCTACTTTTGGTGAAATATGAAAACATTGCTCAATATATACATCTGCAATTCATTCTTCAGACTCTTTTTGTGCAAGGCACTCTTCTTGTAGGATAAATTTGTGTGTTCTCAAAGGCTAATTGGTTTTCATTTTCCCTGTTTATTTCCCAAGAGCATGCATTTGCCGCTGTCATGTTTGCTTTGAGTCGTATTATTCCCAACGAAACAAAATCCCAACATTTATGCACTATCTTCAGTGGCATTTACTTCCAACAATATTGTCATTATTTTTAAAGATTCAATCTTGTAAAATCTTCCTTTATGCATTAAAATATTCCTTTTGAGACGAGGAGAAACTTTTAAGAGGGATTGACTAAGCGAACGCTGGGCACCTTCGAAGAACCCAAGGAACCTCTAACGGTTTAACCAACATTTTAGCAGTGAACATTCCAGTTATTTGGTATTGTTATGGAAGAGCTAGATTGAGGTAAATAATCCATTATTCCATCCATCCAAAAAAGAGACCACCTATTCTAAGTTCTAACACACACTTTTCTCCCAAAAAGAGTCATATCTTGACACAAGACGCTAGTTTTCATTGAATTTCATTTGAAGTTCTTTTAAAAAGTGTCTGAATAAGTTCCGTGTGCCAAATTTAGTGTGACAAGAAACGAATACAAAAATTGGGATGGATGATTTAAAACAGTTTTACCTTGCCACGACTAAAAAATCAAACCTTAAAGATACTAGAGATCTCTTTCAATTCTATGGAGGGGGGATTAGAGGTACTATGTATATTTTAATATTTTGGGAAAACTGTCAAATAAGTCCTCGAACTTTCATAAAAAAGTCAATTAAGTCCTTATTTAGGAGGCTCTGTCCGACCGTCGCGATTTGGGGCGGTTCCCGATGGAATTTTTTGATGAAATTTCGTGAGCATCGTATTCATCAAGTCTAGTTTACTCATACCAAATTTGAGCTAAAACTTCAATCGGGAACGTATTCAAATTAATTCCTGAAGATAACTGCTCATTTAACTGCACAGTTATCTTCAAGAATTAATTTGAATGCGTTCCCGATTGAAGGTTTAGCTCAAATTTGGTATGAGTAACCTAGACTTTATGAATAAGATGCTCAAAAAAACTCATCAAAAAATTCCACCGGGAACCGCCCCAAATCGCGACAGCCGGACAGAGCCTCCTAAATAAGGACTTAATTGACTTTTTTATGAAAGTTCGAGGACCTATTTGACAGTTTTCCCTAATATTTTTAGTTAGGTATTTTAAGGGTATGGTGTCTGAGCACCCTCAGGGCGAGGAGTTTGTAAGGAGCTCAGTTGGAGCCTAGCAATGTACAAAATTATGTTACTTCAGCAAAATTTTGTTTGGACAGATGAAGTGAATTGTATTTCCTCCTGCATCCTTGTCATATTTTATGGAAGAAATTCTTTAATTGATTTTTTGTCATTATGAGCTTGTGCAATTGTGTTAGTTTGAGGCTGTTTGTGTTAACCTCCCATCCCCTGATCCCATGTCTTGGACTGATTCAAATTCAATTAGATATGTTAACAACCAACCTGTAGTGAAATAAGGTGGTGACAAAAGCTAAAGAAGGATATCTATACCGAGACTTAATGGGATAAATATTGTTCAAGATAGATTTGCTAGTCCAGGGGATTTTGACAAAACTAGCACCAAACAGACTTGACGAACAAATAGAACATGTGCCCCACACCCCAACTAGATAAGAATTATAGCTTAGTATAAGTAGGCCCATTCAAGTCCTATATTGTTGTGCTAACAAAAACAAAAGTAAATCTATAATACCCATTTGTCTGGTTGACTTGACCAGGGCCACATTTTTAAAATGGATCAAGTCACATCTGCTGGAATTTACTGTGGGATAAGCAGGACATTACATCAAAGAGACTGTGTAGTCAATGAATGTGTGATTCGTGTGAAATAAGTATAGTCTTTTGATTGTCTAAGGTTTTAACTTTTAAATCAAAGAAAAAGAGCATCCTGACTAACTTGTAATGAGCATTTATCAGAAGCTGGCCATATGAATAGGGCAGAAGGGGGAGTAATTCTTAACCAGCAATGCAAATAAAAATGGTGAACCCAGCACAATTGATTCTTTTACATTTGAAAAGACGACATTCACCTTAATCTGTTTTCCTAGCTTCCATGATTCCATCCAAAAGTAATCAATTACGGAGTATAAATTTATAAATCTTTGTTTCTCTTTAACCACATTTGACCTTCTTGATGACTGCAATATAAAGATTGATCTTACCATGCAATCTCACATTTTCCATCTCAGTTTCACAATAAAAAACAGTCCCACATTCAATTTTGCCACGGCTTCTACAAATTAGTACTCCTCCATATCAAATTAACTCTCCCAATTTCCTTTTCAGGACCTATCAAATAAATTGTATCCTTTCCTTTTTTAGAAAAGAAATTCACTCTAAAAGCAGCTAGAGTACTGCCTAGTAACAAAAACCTCTTAGTAACTATGTGAAAAAGTAAGCGAACAGGACAAGATAATTTGATACGGAGGGGGTATTACACTATTCTCTCGTCTATGTTGTTACTCCGTCTTGTAAACCAAAACATAGCAGGCTTCAATTGCACTTGCTTGAGAGACTTTAAATTCAATGTCAACAATTTGTGTTCTGGAGGACAGAGGAGATTTATTTTCACACCAAACACAAACGATTAGCTTGTCAGCTCTATCACATAACTGAGCGTACGCATTACAGCACGTCAGCACAAGATATAGGCGATTGGCCCGTCTAAAAACTATTAACACTTGTCTGAAGATGGATACTCCAATTTCAAATTTTCAATAAAAATTAGGTTAAAGGAATGCAATGGAAATTGAAGGAAACAATTTTCTCGCTGTTCAACGAATTCTCATCCTGTGTGGTTTGTACGTATATATGATGAATAGAAGCTTACACGCTAAAAGTCCCAGTGACCTTGTCGTTGGCTGTACGAACGGCAGCTTCAAGATCAAAGCCAAGACTTGACGAGGCTTCATCGTCCTTTGAGGCAGCGTACGCGTTCCAGTCCGCTAGCAGTGACGGCGGCTTTTTGTCCAGATCGTTGCTCGGGACTCCGGTAAACCACGCCTGCGCTGTTTTATGCATTTGTCTTTCTTATTTTAGTAATTTTTCCGGTTGATTTATGGGGTCGAAGCTCAGGAATGCTGGTGCACAGCGGAAGACAGCGGGACGATGGTCGCGAAAATGAATGTCGGTACTTTTTGCTCTTCTCGTATTTTTACGGGTTTTACCCGCTGCCCTGCGCACCGAATAGGCACCAATTTTTCTCTCTCATTTTGTTCTATCCACACTTTACATTATCCAATTTAGCCTTCAATATATGGATGGTCAAAGGTGTAAATTTTACGGTTTAGCTTAGATATTTAATGTACTCCCTCCGTCCCGAAAATAACTTCCCGGTTGGACTTTCACACACTTTTAGGAAATAAATTTGATTTTACTGTAGAATGCACTGCTTTGCACTGTTTAAACACTATTTGGCACTGTTTAAACACTGTTTGACACTGTTTAAACATTGTTCGACACTGTTTATCACTTTTTTGATGTAGATAATTTGTCAAATAAGGAAAGTATTGAAGTGTGAAGTTAATTTTGGGACATTCATTTAAGGAAAGTGGGAAGTTGTTTTCGGGACGGAGGGAGTAATAAATGTTGTTTGGATGGAGGTACTCTACCTCATTTTATGTTATACGAGAACTTAACCTCCAAATTACCCGATTCAGAGGTTCTTTAATTTAAGGTTCTTCCAGGTTCTCGGGAGTTAAGTGAGGTTAACACATAACCTAGGTTCTTGTTGCAAAAATACAAACAAACGGGGTTAACTAGAAATTGAACATTCAATAACCTAGGTTAACTCCCAAACAAACAGGCCATTAGAGGCCGTTTCATAACACTGTTTTTCGACTTATCAGACTTATCAGCCAGCTTTTTCACCAAACACGTAACTTTTGCTTTCGCGCGCTGAATTGTCTAATAAGCAGAAAAAATAAGATTGAAGTTACTTTTCTGGCTATATTGGCTGAAGTTACTGTAGATGACCATTTGAGTTATTTTTAGATATAATTTTTTCTTTATTTTATTAATAAAATATATTTTTAAAATAATTTTTTCTCAAATCAGCATAATCAGCCAATGAAGCCACTTCATCCAGAACTTCATAAATTTCAGCAGAATAAGCCAACACATCCAATTTTCGTGCTTTTGCTGAACTGGCTGCTTTTGCTGAAATTTATGAAGTTCTGGCTGAAGTGGTTGATTTTGCCGATTCATGAAAAAATTATTTTTAAAAATATTTGTTATTAATAAATTACTCCCTCCGTCCCGTTAAAATTGTCTCATTTTACCTTTTCGGGAAGTCCCACTAAGATTGTCCCATACCAAATTTGGTAAAGTTTGTGTGGCTCTAAATCATTCTTACTTTATTTTTACTTTTTCAATTCAATATCAATCACATAAACTCACTTTTCTTAATAAGTGTGCCACCTTCTTCCGTCCCAATGTTAGTGGAACGGAGGTAGTAAATAAAAAAGTATATGAAAAAATAGCTAAAATGATCCTCTACAGTAACTTCAGCCAATACAGCCAGAAAAGTAACTTCAAACTTACTTTTTCTGCTTATTACAAAATTCATCGCGCGAAATCAAAAGTTACGTGTTTGGTGAAAAAGCTGGCTGATAAGTCTGATAAGCCGAAAAAAGAGGTCACCAAATGGGCTCTTATTCAGTATGATAATCTTTATACCCGGTATATTTTATGGATACTATAATCTCTATTAGTGTGTTTGTTTTTATTAGTGTGTTACTACTTAGGATGTTTTTACAGGTCTGATCTCATAAAGAATGATCTCTGTGTATTTTATAATTATCCAAATTTAGTCTGGTCTGGTCTGGTTTGGTGGTCTGAAAATAGTCCAAGTAATAACTCTGTACTAGTAATCTTTAGTAGAGTAGAGTGTTATTGGGGACGTAGCTCACCTCGTAGGAATGGAGTGCAACAAAGGAGAGATCTAGGGTTCAACTCCGAGCAATGACTTGGTATGGGACCTCACTCTCTTTCCATTAGTGTGAGATCAAAGTTCAATTTAGTAAAGTAGAGGGTTTAACTCTACTAGTGTTACATAATTGAAATAATATCTAATGTATGGCCAAAATAATGATAATGCATAAAAATGTGATTTAATAATTTTCAGTGATTATAATTGTCTTTAAATTTTACAACAATGTCACTAAAAATTGCACTCAGTTATTTGATCCCATTTTTTTTCATTCAATTTTTTGTAGTATTTTAACAAAAAAACTCCATTTAACAATGTACCTTCTCCATTCTTAAATAAGTGCATCATTTTCGAATTGACACTATTCACATATTCCAATTTGATTACAATATATTTACTAATGTATCAACAAATAAGTTTCTTTTTAAACACAATATATTATTGAGTTTGTCTTATTGTAAATGTTCTAACGATCAAAGTTGTGTATTGGCAAACGTGAAAACCTATTTGAGAATGTGGAAAGTATATTATGTGGTACTAATTACTAAGAATATTAGGTAGAAACTTTGTGTATGGTGATTGGCAAAAAAAAGTAAAATAGAAGTTGATTTGGGTCGTGGGGATTATGTAAAGTCTAAACGTGTTGAGGGTCTCTCTGGGAAATGCAGCATAGATGAGAATGAAGGTAGCTCCGGAAGTGATACTGCTATTCAATGACTCACACGGCTTCGGTGCAGCTATCTTCCACGCTCTCGGGCCTTGCCCCGACTCCGGCCTTTACTCTCGGTAAGCACCATCTCTTCATGACCCTACCCTCCCCCAAGCCACCTAGTCTTTTACTCACTTCAGTTTTTCCATTTCCAGTGAAGAGTCATTGCAGTTGTCATTAGAAAACCACGGAATCAATAATATAAAAGCTTTCGGCAAGATTGTCCATTTTGAAGCTCCCACTTGCGTTCATGAGGTATTTAGTTTTTCAAACATTCCAAAATTTGGTCGAACATTAAACTGATATACAAGTGGTTTCAGAAATGCAATATATATACTCATATACAGATTACATTCATTGCATGAATACAATTGCCGTTTTTTCTTTTATCTTAGGATTTATGAAGGAAGGCCTTGTTTTATTGTTGTTTCTTAGGTATTCGTGTTGCTTTTGGAAAATTATGAGCCTCCAATATTAGTTTGTGCAGTTAGTGAAACATTGGCTGCATTAGTGCCTGATGAATCATCATAGGGGGTGCCTACCGTTGCAGTTCCCTTTGTTGTTCCTGCAACTAAGCTTAAGACAAATAGTAAATCTCTTGCCATAACGGACAACACTCAAATATATGGGTTGCCAGGGGCGGAGCCAGACTTTAGTACTAGGGGGGCAAAATACAACATGTATTGAAAAATTATATATAAAATACGTAGTATATTTTATTAAAGAAATCAGCAATTTGTTTTTTGAAGAACAAAAACTACTTGAAAAACAGTTCAAATCATCATTTATATTAACTTCAGTCAATTTATCCAAAAAAAAAACTCCAATTGTACTTATATTGATTTATTACACACTTCAGTGTGCAAATAAAAATTTAAGTTTTTTATATTAAGAAATTGGATGGCCTGGTAAGACTTAAAACTACTACCTCCGTACCGGTAGACTTTGCCAAGTGCAAAGTAGAAATAAAAAAAAATAAAAGTTGTGTGGTTGAGGTTTGTGCAGAGGAGAGAGAAATGAGCAAAACCACAAATTAGTTACTGTAATAGGAAAGTGGCAAAGTTTTTTGGGACAACAAAAAAGGGAAATTTGGCAAAGTCCAATGGGACGGAGGGAGTAATAAAATTTTACATATACGGCCGTTATTAATTAGGTGTCAAACTTAGAACATTTAAACAATAATGGTTATCTAAAAAAACAAACTAGCTAAGAAAAAATATAATGGTTTCTCCTAAGTTGCGCTGCATGTGCCACTAGAAGTAATGCCGGCCTTCGATAATGAGAAGAACTTCGTTTCCTATGGGCTATGGTGGAATACTAGGGCCTATATATATGGGAGGGGGGCAAAAATAATTGTCATATATAGTAATGTAAAAAAACAAAATTTGGGGGGGGGGGGCAATGGCCCCCTTACCCATCAACGTACCTCCGTCCCTGTGGGTTGCAGATTTATCTTGAACAGTTGGCTTGTTTGCTCCAGCTGGTTCGTGTATTCATGTTGCCCACAATTGTTTTGATTGGAAAGACTGCTCTCAGTATACACAATCTGATATCAAATGGACAACTTCAGGTAAAGATCAAGGTTTAATTGAATTGCCATGCATGTTTTTATTTCTTAAATAGAGTCGCTCTTTAGTCAAAGTCTCTTGAAAATGGTTGTAGTTAACATCTCTATCGAGATTTCCAATAAGCATCTTTGTAAGAAATGGAGAAGCATTGTACTATATTATCCGGTTATCCCTTACTACGTTTGATTGATTACTCGAGATGAATTTTGCATAGGTGCCCAAAAGTGTGCTTAAATTGAAAAGCTAAAAGGAGTCGTAGTGACTAGGTTGTCTCTATTCATTATGAATTGCTTTGATAGTAGTCATGTTCTAAATATTGTTATTGCAACTGGCCGTGTTGATTGGCTTATGTACTGCCAACTAGTAAGTGAAAACAGTTGCTAAAGTAAAATCAATGGCTATAAAATCACATCTTCTCTGCTTTAGCTTTAGCAGGACAAGATAGATTATGTCTTACATCTATATTATAAAATTTTCATCAAGTAATGTAAATCGGGAGCTTAAGGAACTTGACGAACATGCAAGATAAATGATTTTTATAGTAGTACTCTATTAGTAGTTGCTTGTGTTTTGCAGCCTGCCGAGCTGAATGGCCAAGTCTTGCCAAGCAGTAAGTTATTATGGTTGCTAAATGAATAAAAAATATACTCCGTATGTGGTAGAAAAACAGCTCTAAATGCTTGAGGTTAAACTTGACTAGATAGACAGTGTCATACATTTTGTGGAAGCAATTACTTTTAGAGGCGGAGCAGTTTTTATTATTAAGTATGGAATGTTTGTAATGTAGTCCCATTGGGCTTCAACAACTATTTTTGATCGTATAAATTTTTTTGCCACTTTCTCTTCCTTTTTTAACAATTTTTAAAATTGCCTGGCATGGAATGTTCGGGATATGTGGTTATTATTTGTCTCCACATACCTCAACAAATAGCTAGTTTTTAGTTTTTTATTCCATGTTTTAGTCAAAATTGGCAAACTCCAACATGATGCATGGAATATACACTTGATGTAAACATACAAATCACATTTATCTGTTTACACATTTACTTTACATTT